CTGCCTCGGCCTCTATTATCTCCATCATCATCATCATCATCATCATTCACATCATCATCATCATCATTTCCATCATTGTCATCATCATTTCCATCATTATCATCATCATCATCTCTGTCATCATCGTCGTTGGCATCGTCGTTGTCGTCGTCGTCATCATCATCATCATCACCCCACGTTTCTTACTTGAGTGCCATCATACTCTTGTAGCCAAGTCCCGTCACGCCTTTTCATCACAAGATCATGGGAGGGAAGCAAGGGAGAGGAGACTGGAGGAAGGCAGGTAAAGATGTAAGGAGAAGATGTAAGGAGGAGAGGAAGGGACGGAGTAAGAGAAGGGAGGAGGGGAAGGGAGGAGGAGGAGGGAGAGAGAAAGGAGGAGGAGGGAGAGAGAGAGGAGGAGTCAAGCTCAAACCTGAAGGCGCGATGTCGTCGTGATCAAGAAGGAACAAGCAACCTCGAGGTGCCTGTCACGAGCAGAAGTAAGGGGATTATGTAGGAAGGCACGAGGAGAACAGCAGGACAAGAAGTAGGAGCCACGTGCAGTAGCTTTGCAGAGGAAAACAAAGGAGGAGGAGCAGAAGCAGCAGGAGCAGGAGCAGGAGCAGGAGCAGCAGGGAGTTCACCTGGGAAAGGACAGGCACTGATGAGATCTGATTTCAAATTTCTCTTGCACAGCAAAGTGCCGCTATTGAGACTCTTCGAGCTGACCTTCACCTTCTGGGACCATCGGCAGCAGGGAGCAGAGAGCTCTATGGAGCCTCTCCACTACCCTCTCCTTCTTCTTCGCCCCCCGACTCCACCTTGAGACCAACAGAAAATTTCCCGGGCGTTCGATGGCCGTCAGCTGCGCTGTTCATCTGGGGGAAGAAATGAGGAATGATGATTGCAGAGCTCTCCTTGCTCAGTAGCTGCCCTACGTGACAGTTCCCCTATCCTTTAACCTCCCCCTCCCTCCCTGCCTCCCTCCCTGCCTCCCTCCCTCTCCGTCTCCCTATCTGTCTCCCTCTCCCTCCTCCTCCTCCCCTTTCCTTTCCCCTTCATCCCTCCCTCTATTCCTGCCCAACAATTCCTCCATTCATTCTCCCTCCTCCGTCTCTCCCTCCAACCTCATCAGCTTCATTTCCTCTTCATTTCCCGACAATCCAGTCCCTGTCTTCTCTCCCCCCTCCCCCTCCCTCCTCTCAACACACGCACACACAACAACAACAACAACAACAACAAGAACAACAACAACAACAACTCCATTCACCTTGGATATCATGCAGTAGAAGACATACTGCGCAGCGAAATCGTCCTCGTCAAGAGCTGCTCGCAGGATGGAAATTACGCTGCTTTTGAGCGCTGGAGGGCTCTGTCAGGTAGCGAACGAGGGGGTGGACGAGGTAGAGGGGAAGGCGGGAAAGGGGAAGTGGTCGAGAGGAGGAAGAGGACGAGGAGAGGTACCGAGAGAGGAACAAGAGGAGGAGGAGGAAAAGGAGCTCAAGGGGGCAGAAGCGGGGGAGGGAGGGAGGGAGGGAGGGAGGGAGGGAGGGAGGGGAGGGAGGAGGGGGGACCTGGCAAATCATATTTGATCTTGGAGATCAAGTCACGATAGAGAGGAGGAAGGGGAGAGAGCATCTTAGTTATCAGCGGATGAAACAAAATCTTCTTCTTCTTCGAGGAAAGCTGCCGTATGAACAGCACATGTACGCGAGGAAGAACGCTGAGCAGACGAGCAGAGTTAGAGTCAGTTGCCATTGCAATGAGCAAGAAGACAAGTTGTGATGTTTGAGGTTTGACAACACCTGGTTGGAACCATGTTGAGCGAGAAGATTTCATCTGGTATTTCATTGTACGCCTCCTTGATGTCATCTTTGAAAACTGTCCCGACCGCATCGAAAGACAGGATCCCAACGAACTCCGCTACTTGCAGGATATCAATGTGCTTCCTGCTTGCAATCATCAGAATCGCCGTCAACTCCTCCCCCCCTTCTCCCAAATCGCACCTGTCAATATCGTACAACTTCATCAAGTACTGCTGACCAGGGTTGAACTCCCCATTCTCTGCTGATTTTGACCCGAACTGGTCGTGCCCGAAGGCCCATCGCAATTCATCCTTCTTCTTCCTCTTCTCCCCCTTCTTTCTCTCGTCCGGGAACTTCTGGTACCTCCTCATGATCTCTGCCTCCGTCTGGACGGTCGGGATGAACTTATGCGCGTCCTCAACATCTTCTGGACTCGCCACTTCTATCTTCCAGTCCGGGTGCCGGGCCAGCTCGGTAGAGACCAGTTCCCGTGCTTGCTCCTCAGAGAAACCTGCGATCGTACCATCAGTCAGTCAGATGAAGGAGGAGAAGAGGGGGGCGAGGATCAGGAGAAGTCAACCTTCAGGAAACAGCACGCTGCTTTGGTTTCCTGCCCTGAGGACGAACATCTTTGTGGGCTTGAGAGTTCGATTCGATGCAATGGAGGAGGAATTGTTTTCTTCTTGCTGGATTAATGCTTCTTCCTGACGCTTAACTTCTTCAGCTCCATCTCCCTTCGTCTCTTCACCCGCGTCCACTGTCCCCGTCTCCTCTCCCGGTTCAAAAGTTCTCTTTCCAGAAGTTTTCTCTTTCGTTTCAACTTCCTCTTCTTCGAATCGCAGAGGAAGGGGAGGGGCACACGCACTGAAAGCCTTCTTCACCCAATCTGTCTCGCCTGCCATCCCATCATCTGCTCCCGCCCCCTCCACCCGCCCCCCCTCATCCTCCTCCTCTCCTTCTCCTCCCAGTGCCTCCTTCCTCCCCTTCCCCCTCCCATTCTCCTGCTACCCTCCTTCCTCCTGATCCTCCTGCTCCTCCTGTTCCTTACCCCCCTGACGTCCAACTCTTCCCGTCCCCCTCCTCAAGAGGTTCAAGGGTACCTGGGATAGGGAAACAAATGCAAGGAGTTCGCTCTCCAAGTTTTCGAGCTGTCCGAGAATCGCTAACATCCGGAATTTCCAGCATGTTGGAGGGGAAGGAATCCTTATACTTGCAAGAAACTTGCTTGACCTCTCCCGTCTGCGATGCTCGTCATAGCAAGAACTTCACCAAGAACATCTCCACCCTCTCTTCCTTTATCTTGACGCTCTTCACATAGAACTCTATGTTCATAATGTTCTGGATCATCCCTCGGAATCGCACCAGCACCCCATCTCCTATCTCCTCCACATTCTTCGCATCGTTCAACAAGGGAACCTGCAGCAGCACCTCAGCACTTTCTCTCAGCAGCACTCACTCACTTGGTCCCACTTGCCCTCCAAAGTCTTCTCGAAATGCTCCACAACACCAAAGTCACCCCGCACTGTGCCGGCTTGCGACGCCTGCTCGAACAGCCGCTGAACTACCGCATGAGGTCTTCTGATCTCTTCGAAAGTAGACGAGATTGAGCATTCAATACCAGCACTTGACAGGAGGAGGAAGAGAAAGAGAGGACAAGCAATACTCCTCTCCTTCATCTGCCAAATAGATCAGCATGTGAAAACAACAATGGTGTCAAGTTGTAAGATCCCTAATTCTCTCAGTGCCTACTAGATCGCTGTCCTTTTCCACCCCACCCGCTCTCCCTCCCTCCCTCTCTCCCTTTCTCCCTTTCTATCTCTATCTCGCATTCCATCGTCTCTTCATCCATCGTTGTCATCATCTCCATCATCATCATCTCCATCATCGTCATCATCGTCTCCATCACCATCACCATCTCCATCATCATCATCACCATCATGCTCATCATCTTCGTCGACGAGGATTGATGCGCCTCGCCATTAAAGTATTCAACTTTTACTCAACATTAATATGCAGGAACGTTTTGAAAATTCGAATTTTCCACAATATTTGAAATTATATGTTGGAAATTCGGGTTAGTACATCGAAAGTCCCCGATGGAGCAATGGCGAGGTAGAGGAGGGGCAGGAGGGGCAGGAGGGGCAGGAGCAGGAGGGCGAGCAGGTAGTAGCCGACCCCCTCTCATCCTTATGGCTGGTAGTGCAAAGGAAGGACGGAGGACTGGGGCGGCTAGCAGGGGTGGAGCAGGTGGAGGACGAAAGCTGCAGACTCGAGCTGGGCTGTCACGGACAGCGAGTTTAGGATACGATGCGATCGTTCCTGGCAGGCCGAGACCCTCGTTGGCTCCTCTCCCTCTCGAGCCATCCAGTTTCGGCGGAAAATTAGCAAGGAGCTCGAGCACCAGTCGACCAGCGACGTATACAGGTCCCTCGTTGAAGTTTGCAGAGCCTTCAAAGATGAGTCAGGCGAGCAAACTTCGGCGAGAGGTGGAGATGAGCAGCTCCTACAAGAACGAGGAGGAGGAGGAGGAGGAGGACTGGTTTGCGATCCTGGAGCGACGTATCAGCATGCAGGTACCGAGACGTGAGCACGGCATGCGCTGACTCTGCGAAACAGCGCGAGGAGCTGAAGGAGCATCGCGCGAACATCCAAAGCACGATCGATCGCGATGTCATGAGCTTGCAAGAGCGAGTAAATCAGGACAGAGAAGAAATGCAAGATATTTACACGCGGTATTTCCTCTTCTCCTCCGCGCTCCTCCTGCTCTTCGCCCTCCGCCTTTTCATGCGCTTCCTCCTCCTCCTCCTCCTCCTCCTCCTCCTCCTCCTCCTCCTCCTCCTACTTCGAGAAGGTCGACGAGCTGGGGGGGGGAAGACGATTTTTTTTTTATTACAATCATCAACCAGAACATCATTCTCCTCACCTCCCCTTACCTCTACAGGACTTCTTCTACTTCTTCTTCTTCTCGTCGTCGACCACCTCCTGCTTCAGGTACCAGCTCATCTGCTGCTTCTCCTGCTGGGGCCAACATCGACACCCACCGTGATGAGAGCGAGCACGAAGTACACCTCCCTGACCAGCAGCACCAATCTTCTTCTCTCAGGGAGACGACAAGAAATATCCAGTCGTAGAAGAACAAGGATGCAATTTGAGGATCATCTCGTTATACTGCAGCGCCAGCACATGACGAAGATTAGATG